CAAGTGAAAGAAAATCTGTAGGTTTTATACTTAAAAAAAAAAAAAAAACTACCCTCACATATATAATTTTATTTCAAAGTTTGTCATGTGGATATCAAAATGCATTTTCTTGTGAAAATAATGCTAGGTGCATTGACCTCCACAACACCTAAGAATAGTCAAATAATTCAATTTCAACTAAACATGATTTTTATTTTCTACAGAACATTCAATCATTTACACATCTTGTGTGAGCATCCTGCTACCAAGCATGCATACTATTGATAGGAAGGGGAAAGGGTGGATAATTCCAAATATGAGTAAGTTATTTGAACTCAGTGTCTCTCTTGAAATGATAAACTGGTGAACTAAAGGTCTGTAAATAAAGGAAGCATTAGGTGGCCCAGGGCAGGTACTTCTATAAACACCTGTAATAATAATGACTTCCAGCCATTCTCTACGGATCTAGAATTGAAAGCAGGAGGGTATTTTGAAGGGCACACTACTAATCAAAGAGCTAAAACCAAGTTGCTTAGACCTGTTGTACACAGGAGTCATATATTTATACACATATACATACGCACATACATATATATTTGTGTGTAGATGTAGTGCATATAACCTTTGTCTAGTATTTACTGATGGACTTTTTTCAGCCATACATGTTCCACAATTTAATCAATGCAGCATCCTAAAAGGTGGTTGGGAGCACCCCCATTTAGCAAGAGAGGATGCTCAAATTGGCCAAATCACTGATAGAGCCAGTGTCTAATGCTAGAGTGTGTTGCTGTCATCATCCAGGGAATCCCTAAATGAGAGTACCCCATCAGAGTAAGGCTCAGGTGACAAAATTTAATAAGAACATTAGGAAGATTCCTTGTTATCAGTATGATAAACCCTCAGCAATTAATAAACAAGTGAACAGTCAAAATTGCTTACCTTGACGACCAAAATAGCTCTCTAATTTTAAATTACATTGACCTTTTAACAGTAATTGATTCATTGCTCTGGGCACAACCATTTATAAATGAGAAGCTGCTGATTTAGCAGAGTTAACTATAATATTACCAAAGCACTTACCAAAGACATGATTTGGGGGGATATAAGAATATAATTCAAAATTAAAATCGTTAGATAATTTCAAAATATTGTTTTATGCCTTAGTTTTATTTAGATCATTTCAAAATATTGTTTTATGCCTTAGGTTTATTCCCAAACCATTTACTTGAGTTGCTAGACAATAACCAAAACAACAACAACTTGATTCATTTGAATACTTTGTTTTAGAGGGTAGGGATGTAGCTCAGAAGTAAAGTGTTTTCTTTCCAAATTATGGAATAACCTAATCACCGCATGTAGAATTTACACAGGATATCTTGATTTTAATTGATGAATGATATGATCAAAAAGGACAGGAAGAAATAGTCTACCTGTTGGTGGTCTCATGGAGAGCTCAGAGCCAAAGAATTCTCTGGGAGAATTCAAACTGACATCCTTTAAGGAGGATGCATTCTGAAGACAGCAGGAGAAGGAAAAGAGAGAAACACCTAGTTATGAGCACCATTTTGAGAAATGGTTCATTAGGACTCACAGATTGGTTGCTTGTTGTAGGTGGAAAAGTATGGGAAAAGAGACATTTATAGCTTAGTCTGGGGTATGAATCCTGTCATTTCTGTTTTACTAGCAATGTGCACTTGAGAACATGATGGATCTTTTCTGTTCCCATCTGAAAATGTGGCTGATGCCAACCTCTTTATTACTGAGAAGAGTACATGAAATGGAACATGTAGAGCACATTGCATGTAATGTGATTTTTGATATCATCACAATATTTTGATCAATAATGAGCCACATGTGTAATGGTGATCCCATAAAATTATCATGGACCTGAAACATCCTCATCACCTAATGACATCGTTAAAGTCTTAATGTTGAAGCACAATATATTATGTTTGTGGCAACATGGTGTAAATAAACCCATTGTGCTGCAAGTCCTATAAAAGCATAGCATATACAATTATGCACAGTACATAATATATAAAAATAAATGACTTCCTGGTCTATGAAATCATTACATTATGCTTTTATCATGAGAGTGTATTCCTCCTTATTATAAAAGAAAAATGTTTAGGGTAAGACGATACATGAATTAATGTATATGCATCTGATCCCACGTACAAACTTCAAAAAGTTACATGAAATTGGTCAAAACTCAATTAATACCTTTCTCTTTTCTTCCATGCACATACAGACTTCTGAATGCTATGATTTTAGTTACTTCATCCAATTTGTATACCAGATTTTCCAGTGCTTTACTTCTATCCCTTTTTACCAAAAATTAGACATTTTCATCATGAGTGTTTTTTTAGACTTACCATAAAGTTGTTAAAATCCCATCTCACATCCCAATTCATCCATATTAGATCTTACAAATTCTGCCTGTTATATATACTTTAAAATTTTCTTTAGCAAAATCTGCTAGAGGTAAACTCAGTTTGAGCAGTCAGAAAGTATCTATAATTTGCTGTCACTTGTTAAGGAATTTTTGCTGACCAGACTTCTAGACTGACAGATAATTTCTCACGGCACATTACAGATCCTGGCTTTGGGTATCCATTGTTGCTATTGGGGCACAGCCTAGGTTTATTGACTGTTTCTTTGTGGATGATCTTTTACTTGAGGATATTCCCCCACCGTTTGATGTTATCTCTGTGTGTCCTTGAATTCATTTTTTTGTAATCCATCCTGCGTAGCATTCACTCTGAACTTTCTGCACCTGAGAATTACTATCTTTCAATAATTCTGAGAAATGCCCAGGCAATAGCTCTTCAAGGATTACCTCTTTCCCATTTTTTATTTCTATCCACAATTCTAATTATCTCCTGCAAGGGTCTTCATTTTTCTTTTATATTTTTAATTCCTTTGTCTTTGTAGGTTGTATCTGTTTTATTTTCCAGACCTATTACCAGTGTCTCTCTTCTGTAGTTTTTCAATTATAATTTTCCTTTAAATTACTCCATATTAATTTCTAGAAGGTCTGTTTCATTCTTTTTTCAATTGTGCATGGTTATTCCTTCCTCATACATTCAGTCATTTCATTTGCTTTTAGCATATCAAACATAGCTATTACGTATTCTGTCTAATCATTTCAATATCTTTGAGAATGTTACTCTGCTGCCTGTTTCTGATTCATGCTGCTTTGTTTCCATATATAATTGTGATTAGATTTTACTTTAGGACCAGGGAATGCTTACATTCCCATGGGAATTATTTCCCACCGGGATCAATGACGCCTCCCTCCACAAAGAAACTGTATTTGCTTCTCCAGTTATCTGGAGGGATTACTCAACCAGATCCATCTTACCTTCAACACTATGCTTGGTGTGTCTTAAACTGAATTGATAGCATGAATGTGGGCCAAAACCTGTGTGAAGGCCTACTTGTGTTTAGAAATAATCAGAGGAAGATTTTTTCATTCCCTTCTACCCAGAGCCAAGGTTGAGGTAGGCAAACTTCTTTGCTGCCTTTTTCTGTACATCAGAGTTACTTATTTTTTTCTTCCTGATGCTTCAGGGTGGAGTCCTTTGAAGTAAGCCAGCTTTACTCAAGCTTCCTATTAAACTCCCCCATACTTCATAAGGCCATCAAATCAAATGTTCAGGATGACCAGGATTTAGACCCTCAGGGTCCGCCTTGCCTTGACATTTTGCAACCTCCCAAGTTTACAGCTTCTATTAAGGGTTGAATATCCCTTCTTTTCAGACCAATTCGGCAATGTATTTCTAAAGCTTTTTTCTATTTACCTAGTATTTTAGTTGTTTCTAGCTAGAATCAAATCTTTTTAAATTATTTATTTATTCTAATTTGTTATGCATGATTAGAATAAAATCTTTATAAGTACATGAAGACCTAAATGAACCTGTTTTTATTAATGTTTATTTACATATGTATTTAAAGCATTTTCTTTTTACATCTCATAATTTTATTTCTAATTGCATCTGGTAAAACCTTGATATCTGCTATAAAACTTAATTTTCAATTATCCTGTGGGAATAATTAATTCTCTTTAAAAATAAAACATTTTCATATGCAATTATTATAGACTTCAATATAATCTGTTACCTTATTTCAAATTTTTCATTGCCTTATGTAGGACTGTAGGATCTTCAAAAACCTCTCAAAATAGTAGGATCACAAAAATACATAGGCCTATCTGCATTCAATTTATTTGAAGCCATTACTCATTGAAACATTGGAGCTATTTGGGCCCTTCCACAAAATATAATCAATGGTAAAATATTAGCATGCTTTATTTTGGACAAAACTCATTTTGGGAAAAGTTGTGCTTAGACAACATTTTAGAAAATCAAATAATTTAAGTTTGTAGTTACAGAATTTCAAGAAAACCTCTAAACTCTTCATCTCTTGAAGGCTCTTTTGGTAAAGGAAGTGATCACCCTTTTAAAAAAATAAAAATCTGATTTCACATAAAAATTTTCTTCAAGTAACAACACATATGACAAGTTGCCACATGATGCAGTGAGGCACACCTGTAATCCCTGCTACCCAGGAAGTTGAGGCAGGAAGATCACAAGCTCAAGACCAGCCAGAGTAACTCAGGGAGAAATATCTCAAAATAAAAAGGGCTGAGAATGTCATTCAGTGATACAGCATGTTTGTGGCCCTCAGTTCAATCTACATTGAGGGGGGGGGGGAAAGCCTCAAAAGTCCAGCCCATCTCCCTAATCAATTATTTAAAATATTTAAATAATAATATTTTTGTTGCCATTTCCTTTATTTTTTTTGCTAATTTGTTATATGACAGCAGAATGCATTACAATTCATATTACACATATAGAGCACAATTTTTCATATCTCTGTATATAAAGTATATTCACACCATTCGTATCTTTATACATGTAATGATATCTATCTCATAAAAATATTAAATAGTATCTTATTGAAATATTTAAATAATATCTTACTTAAAATATTTCATTAAATGGCCTTTCTTCTTCTAGTACGTGCGAGTATCCTTTGATACGAAACCTGATCTCCTTCTACACCTGATGACCAAGGAATGGCAACTGGAGCTTCCCAAGCTTCTCATCTCTGTCCACGGGGGCCTGCAGAACTTTGAACTCCAGCCCAAACTCAAGCAAGTCTTTGGGAAAGGTCTCATCAAAGCAGCCATGACCACCGGAGCGTGGATCTTCACTGGAGGGGTTAACACAGGTAACTGGAGTGTGACGGGGGGAAAGGCATCATAAGGCCATGAGAATGTTGTGCCTCAGATCATTTTCTAAGAGTGTATTTATATTTACCCACCTCTCCCCTGCTCCTCATTATAAGGCTCAAGACACAGCTGCACAAGCACATTTCAGCAATGAACTGAATGCTGCCCATGCTTTAATATGTTTATGTGAAATCCTCTGCCTGGTTCTCTCTCAGCCTCCTTTTCCAAAATGATCACTATATCATTATTTTTAAGAATTAAGTAACAGGTTGAAATGATTAATGGTTGACTCTGCAGAATTTGTAAATATGACCAATGGGGTTTTGTAGGATGTTTTCAATAGCTCAAGTTGTCATTAAAAATATTAGTAACTTTTTTTTTTTTTTGGCTGAGGTACTGGGGATGGAACTCAGGGCCTGATGCACCCTAGGGTCTGGTGTGTTTATTATTTAAAATATTCCATTAAATCATCTCTGCACCAATAGAAGACACACCTCATCCCAGATACTAGTTTTCCTACTACCTAATGAGTTTCTATATTGTGATACAGGCATGCTCTCAAATCAATTCTTACTTACATATATAAAGTTCTGAAGATAAGCACTTATCAATGTACAACAGATAATAAATTGGAAGCACGTAAACTTTGTTGCCCTATTTCCCCAGCCTGAGTTGGATGTGCCAATTAGCAGTTTACAAGTAAGTTGTAGTAAATTAATGCAAACTCATTACAAGGCTCAAAGTCTGTACACAGACACATTTGTTGTTAGTGGGACATTCTGAACGTAACTTTGGGCCAACTATTGCTGCTTTTAAATACCATGTTTTCTCAATTTTTTGTTTGTTTGTAGTTTGGACAATGTTTGAGATCTGCTCTGCAAATTCTAAATACCTAGAATTTGGGAATCAGACACAGCTGCACAAGCACATTTCAGCAATGAACTGAATGCTGCCCATGCTTCATATTGTTATGTGAAATCCTGACTCTGTCTTGAAGCTGACATGATCTTAGATTGACCTGCTCAGTCAGCTCTTTAATGTTTACACTCTAGTAATCAAATATCCAAAGAGCAAAATTCTTTCAGTGACTGTTCAGGTTTTAAGCCCCATGTTTTTGCTCCCTACTAAGTGGCCATCGCCTATCCGTGATTCTCCAGCTGTAGACTTTCCTGACATGCAGTCACCAAACCAAAAGCTTCTAAATTTTGAAAGAAACTCCTGCCAATCTATTTCTAAGAAGTTGGAACATTATTTTTCTTCTTTTACACAATGCATTCAATGTCAAAAAAAAATGTACATCTTAAATACTATAAACTGACACAGGCCTCTAGAATTCCAGCAACTCAGGAGACTGAAACAAATTACAAGTTTGAGATCAGACTAGCAAGATCCTGCCCCAAAAAGGAATGTAGATGTAGCTTAGTAATAGAGTACCTCTGGGTTCAATCTCTACTACTAAAAAGTAAAAAAAAAAAAAACACTACAAACCAAAGAGTTCATCTCTGCTTCCCTCTGGACTTATTATTCAGTCCAAGACCAAAGTGACAATCTAATGACAGATGCTGAAGTTAGGTAAGAGGTAATAAGAAAATTGTGGCAGATAGTGAGGCATACCATGAAGCTAAACTTCTTGTTCAGGGTTGGCCCTATGTTTTGCATATTATCATTAATATACAGATTTTCATGTTTTAGTGTTTTCAGAAGCTATCTTAGAAAATTCTCTTTTTCTGGGGGGCGGGGGGAGTACCACAGTTGAACGCAAGGACACTCTACCACTGAGCCATATCCCCAGTCCTGTGTTGTATTTTATTTACAGACAGGGTCTCATGTATTATTTAGCAACTCATCGTCCTCCTGAGCCACTGAGATCACAGGTGTGCACCACTGCACCCAGCGCTTAGAAAAATCTTACACAAACTACCAAGTGAGAATAATGTGCTCCTCCATACTCCCAGCATAGAGCAACATGGATTAGTGGTTATTTACACTACATTGGTACTTGATTTTTAAAAGCAGGTTCTTTAAGCATGTAGATTCTCTCCCCTGATTAAATTGCCTGGTATGTTCTGCGTGTTTGGGACACAATTTCTGAGCCCTTGCCCTTAAGGAGCTTTATTATTGGCAGAGTCATTCTTATACATAATTATGAATCATTGTAGAACAGATCAGGTGACATATGGAGCTGCTCAAGCTGTGCAAACTGCATTATGTGTAAATGGAATCCAACTTGAGAAATCAAATCCAACTCCACATTTATATAGGAGATGGCACTCGGTGTGATGTTTTTCTTGAGGAAGAGGTAGAATTTTGATAAATGGAATCTAAAAATAATTGTTCAAGAGGGAAGTTAAAAGATTAAAATAAATAAATAAATTAAAAAAATAATTTCTAATTAGTAATACTTGACAGTAGAATGCATGTATGCTCTTTGGTATATCATACATAGACAGGATATAATTTCCCATTTTTTCTGACTGTACATGTTGCAGAATCATATTGGTCATGTAGTCATATACATATATAAAGTAATAATGTCTGTTTTATTCTACTATTTTTCCTATCCCCATATCCACTCTCTTCCCATCACTTTCCTCTAATTAATCTAAGATAACATTATTCTTCCCTAGTGCCCCCGCCTTATTGTGAATTAGCATCTGCATATTAGAGAAAACATTTGGCCTTTGGTTTTGGGGGGATTGGCTTATTTTGCTTGGCATGATATTCTCCAACTCCATCCATTTACTAGCAAATGCCATAATTTCACTCTTCTTTTAAGCTGAGAAATTTTCCATTGAGTATATATACCACATTTTCTTTACATCTTCTTTAAATGGTTTATGAAAAGGTGAGAGATAGGTTCACAACCATTTTAAACTAAATTTCCTTTAACTATGTTGAGGACAGAAGAAGAAAATTTGAATGATGAAGATTAAAGGTGTATTTTTAAAAAATTTTCTACAGAATAAGCCAACATGAAGTAGATTTGCTACATATTTTGTAAATAGGAAGATGAAATTAGGACTAAAAATGTGAGCTAAATAATTATTCAAATGATTCTGACTCAAACATAATCTGGAGTGTATGTTTAATATAACATTATATATGGTACTTTCTATAGAATCAACACGTTAAGCGTGTCCTAAGTCCTATGAACAAATCATTAGGTTTATACAAAAAAAGTAAAAGTGACTAAAATAGTTGTATTTATTCTTCTTATAGGCATGTTTTCATACAGATTCTAGTAATGCTTTTACTGACATTTATATCAAGTCTGGGAATTATATCTGGCACAATCACAATCTTATGTTCTTGCCTAAATATGTGGTTTATACACAAATGTATCAAAATTGTGCTTTTGATGCATTTCACCTTGGGAGAAAGTTATCACCCTTCAAAATAATCTAAAGGTCATTGCTTTAAAAAGTAAGATAGTACTTCTCTCTCTGCCCCCAGGTGTCATTCGGCATGTTGGAGACGCCTTGAAGGACCACGCATCTAAATCTCGAGGGAAGATATGTACCATAGGTATTGCCCCATGGGGAATTGTGGAAAACCAAGAGGACCTGATTGGAAGAGATGTAAGTACTGGGGGCTGCCCCTTTACATGACTTCTCCTAGAGAGGCTAGCACAAGAGTATAGTTAGTATTCATAATATGCATAATATTCTTTAAAATAGTTTATTGGATGACTACTTGTTTTCTAAAAATCTATGTAGACCCCATGTCCTTTATTCTAATCAAGAAAAGTAAAACTCACCAATCACCCCCTTTCTGCTTCAGTGAAGCAGTGGTCTTTCTTTTCCATCAAACTCTGCAAGTGCTCTTGGTATGGTTATCTTAAAAATACCCTATACCCACGTAACACTTGGCAACATGAACTCACACATGAAATATGGCCTCTTGTCACCCCAGGACTCCAACATTGATTATTTGAGTGCCTCTTACCCAGCTCAAGATTGCTACAGAGAGTCTTTCCATTGGAGCCTGTGTCTTCTGTGGACAGTTTTGTGTGTGTGTGTGGGGGGGGTGGGGGGCGGGGGGCTAAATGCTTAGTTAACATGTAGGCACAGTTGAATTCTTTATTTTGCATGAATTTCAAAACCCCTTGCCCAAGCTCAACACTTTCCTAGCCTCTGTTTCCCATTCTGATATCCAGGGCCACATACTGACCAGCTGTTCAACAATTTTACCCAGAAACCCAGAGCATTTGGTCTTATTTTTTATGAGTCATCGTCTCATTTCTGATCCTTCTAGGGATCTCATTTAAAAAAAAAAAAAGTCATTTCCACTCTCCCTTACAGAATGCTTCTCTTCCAACAACCATAAAATTCTATTTTAAAAGAATTGGAGTTATATTACATAAACAGATTACCATACTGTATTTGTTTCCTCCAATAATTGTAGCAATTGTTTTTCATTGTTCTCTATATCAGTTCAATAGTCATTCCTTTCCAATCAAGACCTGCCCGAGTATTAAAAATATGCTAAGTAGTTTTATCCACATATCTTGAGGTCTGTGCCCAAAAAGAGGAAAAAAAAAAAAAACAGATTATGAATCAACTAGTCTTAAATTGTTTCTTTTAATGATGGAGCCGTACAATTCAACCATCTCATTTCAATCCAACACAATGTATAGAATTCTTTAAAAATTTGTTTACTCCTTGTGTTTTGACATTTGATTTTTAACTCCTTCAGAACCTTTAAATGATAATAAACATGCACATCACTGTTATCAAATTAAGTGCAGAAATCCTAATTTATCCAGAAGACAGAGTACTATTTTATTTTATACATACTTTATTCCCTAAATGTTATGTAGACAAAACTGATAGAAAAAATTTAGTAACACTTTTCTAGAATATCTGAGACTAGTCATTCACGGAATATAATTGGACTAATACTTACCTTAGATTTCAAATTGGCTTTTAAATGGATGTCAGTTAACTTAGGAACCAGAACAAATATATTTCCTAAAGAATTAAAACATGCTAAAATGACCTCAACTCCAAACACATTTAATATTGCATTTTAATAGTATGTAAATTGTTCCAAAAATAACTTCTGAGTCATATTTTTAATGTTCGTAGCTTCAGGATCACTATCAGAAATTTAAATAATTATTCAACGAGTGGGGCTGGTTTAGAACTCTTATTTCTGTACTTGAGATAGGCAACTAAGGTTATAATTTTGTTACTCTAAGCATTTTTGTGTTTGCTCATCTTAGATGATTGGAGATTTCTTTCTATTACATGCCAAAGGGGTTAGAGATGTTTAAGTGATCCAAAGAAAAATGGTCACAGAGGGCAAAAATTTGTATAGTCATCATCCCTGCTGCCAGGGGGCTACAAAAAGCAAACCATTATACCTAAAGAACCAGGTAAGCTGACAGAGAGAGGGAAGTGAAAAGGAAATGAGAAGGCTGAATGGGGGTATCCAACATTCACCTGCTATTCCACAAAGAACCAAAGTAACAAGCTGCATTGTGAGGTGACTTACAATTGGAGAGCCCTGGAAATTAGACTGGAACCTTGGGATATTCAGAAACCTGGAACATTATAATAAGAAAAACAAAATGCCCTAGCATCTGTGACTTTAGCTCCGCAGCCGAGCAAGGAGGAGTCTCCACTTTGCAGAAATAAGGGCAAGAGACCCAAAAAACTATCAGTGAAAATAGGATTGAAATCTGGTCAATAGCATTGCTTTTGATAAAGATCTTACATCATCTCCCACTGAATACCCACAGTGCTGGAGCCAGGTACTGTGTTAAGAAGTAAGCTATTGCCCAAGTTTGGGATATTCTAGAGGTCAGAAACTGCTTCCAGAAACTCACCAGTTTGAAAGTAGCCATCTTGAAAATTCAAGTTATCCCAGTGGAGTGACTGACCTAAGCCCACTAGATGGTGTATAAGGATGGATGTTGTGACACAGAAGGGAATGGGCTGTGATAACATTGAGAACCAGAAGCTTGGATCACTTTCCCTGAGACCAAGGGCATAAATGACCATATGTAACTCAATGCCTGCATAGTTCCTGCTGTCCCTGCACCACACTCAGATGCCTGTTCTTGGCAGGGTTGGGGAAAACATCATGGTTCCACAGCTAATCATGGGTGCCAAGAAGGGTCAAGAGGAACTTTGGCACCATTTCTACATATGCACTACCATCAGTTGAGAAGTACACCATAGTTCCACTGCACCTTGTCTGACCACATACTGCTGTCTGGACTGGGTATTTGCAGTTCACACCACTGTCTCTCCTCATGTGTCTCATGGGACTATACCAGAACAAGTGATTCAGGGCCCTCACTACTGCTGGTGCTACCAGTGCCAGAGGCCTTTGTCAGTAGCAGAGCTAGCATCAGCAGTATGTGAGGAATTCCCCATCACCTGAATTGTAGGAGTAGCCCTAGCACAGCACGCAAGTTGCACCATGCTTGCTAGTGTGTCTCATTCTTGCATGAACCACAGAAACAAGGGTTCTCTCTTACTTCATCACAGTAGGCAATACCAAAGTCATTAATCACAGCAAAAGAGACTGCACTACTGGAAATAAGGTGAACATTGCATAACTGACAGAAAGCAGCTTTCTCCTGAAGGTATGCCCAAGATGGCCACCTCATCAAAGTGGTAGAGATACATGATCCAAAAGATTCCAGATAAATTGATACAGTTAAAAAGTCTGATAAATTATTTAAAAGCTCAGTGATATCTAAAAGACTACAGGTAAACAGTTCAATGAAATTAAGAAGAAAAATACATGATAAAAATGAGAAATTGAGTGGAGATTTAGAAGAAACCAAACAAATCTTTGAAATGAAAAATTCAGTAAGTATGTGTGTATGCACACAGCTGAAAGCCTGAACAATAGAGTAGATGAAGCAGAAGAAAGAATATTTGAACTTGAAGTCATGTCTTTTTACTTTTGGACATCAAAAGGTCACTATAGAAAAAGGAAGATTTAAAAATTTATTGAAACAATTGAAAATGGAAGCACAGAATACCAAAAATTATGTCATGTAGCAAATATAGTGCCAAGAGAAGGAAGTTTATAGCAATAAGTACCACTTTATAAGAACAATGATTTCAAACAACTTAACAGTGTATCTCAAGTACTTAGAAAAGCAAAACCACACCAAACCCAAAAATAGAAGGGAAAAAATGACAGAGCAGGGATAAGTAAAATTTAAAAAGAAATAAAATATCAATGAAGCAAATAGTTAGCTTTTTGAAAAGAAAGTTTACAAACCTTTAGCTAGACTACCCAAGAAAGAAAAGACCCAAATAAAACTAAATTGATACCTTGAAAATACAAAGGATCATTAGAAATTATTATTGAAAATCTGTACTCTAACAAGCCTATAAGAAATGGACAAATTTCTGGACACATGTGACTCATCAAAATTAAACCATGAAGACAAAAAACTGGAATAAACTAATAAAAATCAATGAGATTCAAGCAGGAATATAAAGTCTCCCCAAGTAAAGTCCAGACCAAATGGCGTCACTGTTGGATTTTACAAACCTTTTTTCCTTTTTCCCCCCTCAAGAAATAAAAAGAGGATTTATTGCTTTGCTAGAAAAGATAAACACAGGGGACTCCTCTCCTAGAGGCTGTGGTTCTGCCCCTTAGCACAAACAGGGGGCTTTTAAAAATATATGTTTAGTTGTAGATGGATATAATAATTTTATTTTTGTATGTAGTGCTGAGGATCAAATCCTATCCCCCAGAGTGCTAGGCAACCCGCTCTACCTCTGAGCCACAATCCCAGGCCAACAGGGGCCTTTTAAAGAGGTGATTCAAAGTTGGAGTTGTAATCCACTTGTTAATTTGGGAGATAGTCATTTTTGAGATCTTCTGGTACCATCCCCAAAACCTGAATTAGTTGTTCCTGCAGTGGGTGTGTACTCAAAGACACAAATCTGCCTAGGATGGGAAGAATGGTAATCCTGTTTTCCTAATCTTAGGGAGGAAAAGAGATTAAAAAAGAATAGGGAAAGAAAGAAACATGTCCATTTTAAAAATACATGACAATGGCAGAGCAGCAAGGGCTATATTCAAAGCATAAAGTGGACCACTGTGACATTTCCACATTCCATTTCTACAGAAAAATAGGTGACGACAACTCCCTGCTGAAAAAGAGCGAAGTTGGGGGATGTAACTCAAAGTCAGGTGGGGCATGGACAGTTCAGGATATTCTGCATCAGGGCAGTCCAGAGGTCCACAGTGGTAGATGGCAGATGACTGGACAAGGAATACATAGATCAGGGATCATGCAGATGGCCAAGGGTATTGTGACTTTACTGAGTTCAGTTTCCTTTTTCTACAGTACCATAGTAGCAGCATGGTATTTGGCATAAAAACAGACCAATGGACAAGAAAAGAAATCCCAGGAATAAACTCACACATATATAGTCAACTGGTTGACAAAGTTGCCAAAAGCATATATTGAAGGAAGGACAGCTTCTTCAATAGTGCTGGGGAAAACGGATATCCACAAGATGGATCAAACGTAAATGTAAAACCTGATTTCTGAAACTACTAGAAGAAAACAGACACACTTCAAGACATTGGTACAGTG